TTCATGCGGATAAAAGCAAATTTTCCACCGCTAAATTACTATCTCCACCGACGTAGTTATACGGATTCACCTAAATGTAATTGCGGAAATAATAGGGAGGATATCCAGCATTATTTTTTGCACTGTTTCCTATATGATACTCAACGACAAGATCTTTCACTGAAACTTTCTTTTATGCCTGCATTCTCAGTTGACACCTTGTTACTGAATGGCTTAAACTTCGATCATGATATTTTAACATGTATACTGAATGCAGTCCTCTTGTATATTCAGCAAACGAACAGATTTGAATAACTGCAGACATAGTAGTTTTGAATTTCCAATTTTATGATATTCATCCTTTCCTTGTCGTCTGGCCTGACTTCTTAGTTTTTTATATTGTTACTCTTTTTTTCTTATCCATAATTCCCTTCTGTGAGCACCTACCGACAACATCTTTATTATTGTTAGGTCCATAATGGTCTTTGACCGCTGACCTTTTCTTTATCAGAATCAATAAAGATATACATCAATTACTGAAAAGAATGAATAACGGGCTGTGTGAAAACACAGAGAGCGTTTTAATACGAGAGATGAGTTCGCTTTATTGGAAATTCGAATATTCTTAGGGATACAAAATGTCGATGGGTGCAATTTTCCTCAAGCCTCTAAGGGACGATGGAAGCTCCTGCTACGCCAATGTGATAGTGTGTTTTACTTTTTACCTGTTCTTCTCCTAATCTCTTTATGCTCAACTCTCTTTAAGAAAAAAAATATTAGTCTCGACTAAGAATGTATGAGTATTTGACGAAAGTCAAGGTCTTATGAAATAAATAGTTTGTTTGCCTGTTTGTCTGTCCACATAGCAAAGTATATGAAACTAGATTACAATTTTGCTGTGCACAAGTTGCGAAGTCGACAGACTCGTCTCCATCTGGGCCTGCCAGACGCCAGCAGATTTCCACTACGTCACTTTCGCTGTTATTCTCTGTTTCCGCTGCACAAAAGTGACCCTAAGACTAACAATGACTCATGTTTACTATCAATCAGATAGACTTGAAGAATAGAAACAAAAGAGAGAATTATATTTCCTCTGAAAAACAAATGACGCCTGACAACATGGAAAATGCCGAAATCTAAAGTCAATCTTCTTCCAGCTTTCGACCCCTGTGGCATAGGATCCAAAGCGAATTTTGAAAAAAGAACGCCCAATGGTCAACCTTCGGTACTCAAAGAATGATTTCGTATTTTCAGAACTTTTCTACGTTGTGTAGTTCTCAAAATCACGTGATGCACATTTCGCAAAAAAGATAATTAAACAAAAATTCCTGCAAAAACTCATAATGTCTGTCGGCTTAAAAAGTTTCGAAAGTATTATTTTAAAAATAATAATCAAAGATTTTGATTAAAGATTTTAGGCGCTGTCACTTTTTTGGGCTGAAATATATATATATAGAGAGAGAGAGAGAGAGATGTAAAAAGCTAAAGTCATAATAAACAAAGAAAGAGTGGATTCATGCCCAAACTCCGCACACACACACCCAACCCCGCCTTTAAAGGTTCTTTCATCTCAATTTGAAAAAATTAATTAAAAGTGCGCGGAATTTGTGAAGTAACGAAAGACTCTGAGTGCGTACGTTTTCATATTAATTAAACATAGAAGAAGTTGTACAGACCATTGTAAAGGTTACTTTTTAATCATAACCTTGTTTATTAAGAAAAGATACAACAAACTTGACTTAGCGAGCAGACCAAGGTCTATGGTGCAGAGTCAACTAGACAACCCTATAAAAAAAGATTAATATGGCAGAGTTTGCTAACAAGCTTGCACATTCAGTTCCAGCAGGCAAAATTCTCACGAGTAGACCTGATCACATACCTCAGCTAGGTATGTGACAGTGTCTGCTGCGGGTCTTCCACGATGTTCCCTGCAGAGCTGCACAGGTCTACTCGTGAGAATTTTGCCTGCTGGATGCCTGCTGGAACTGAATGTGCAGGCTTGTTAGCAGGCTCTGCCATATTAATCTTTTTGTATAGGGAATCTAACGAAGAACTAAGGCAAATACACATATAGGAGAAAGTATAATAGAATAAAAGAGAAAGTACAGTATAAAAGAGAAAGTACTATATTGCCATAAAATGAAATTGATGATACACATGGCTTATAGTATGTCGTCGGGTATATAAACGTTACATATTTTAGTGAATCTCAAAATTTCGTAAAAATTTTTTCCTATCAACAATAAAACATAAAACGTCAAGGGACCGAGTGAAATCATCGATAAATATTAGTTGGTAGTGAGTGTTTATGCTAAAAAAGAAAATTCAGAAACCTAGCAAAAACTTAATTCATACAAAGCAAATGATTTCTTTTTCTATTTTTATCTACAACTACAAATCTCACGGGCCATTTGAACAGAATGTATTAACGAACGATTCTCCTATGTGTCACTGCAACGATGAGTGTTTTGAAATTAGAAAAATTCATTACTTTTCCATAAAACATCACTCTTTTGATGAAAAAGTGATACTTGAAAAAGACACTTTTTAACAAGTTTTTGTAACTTTCACTTCAAACTATGTAGAGGATTTTTTTTAATGATCATATTGTAAAATGTTCAAGTGATTGGAATCAATCGAATGAAAATAGACAAAAGCTATTGAACTAAATCAAGGTTTTATTAGACTTTTGAATTATTTTTAATTAAAAATATTGCTACGATATTTTGGTATCTCCACATATGTTACGTTGAGCCCACATGTGATTGGACACCAGACTTAGGAGCTAGACACCTGTGACGACGCTATTTTTGTCCCTACTCATCAAAAAATTTCTAAAAACTCATATCGATGGGTGGTTTGAGTATGACCACAGATATCTAATGTCGACATTATCAAAAACAAACTTATTAATATTACTCAAGAAGATAACATTATGGATGTAAACGAACCATACTATCAGATACACAAATGAAAAAAGTCTATAATAGTTGTACTCCACCTATTTCTATATAGAAAAGGCTTTGTATAAAATTTCAAGCTACTCTGCAAAACTAAAAGATCTATGATCCATGTCTATGCCCATATCCATGGAAAAAAAGATGTGTATGTCATCACCAGAAGTTTTTTTTACTATACTTTTGAGCACTCATAGAGCTAGTGAACCACAGCTATCTACCTAAGACTCTGATGAAATCCTATATTCGCTTCGTAATTCACAAAAATAGCATTTTAATAATGAATAACTAGTTAGCCGTATTTATCTTAATCATGATTAAAAAATGTCACGATTATATTATAAATCCTGTAATCAGGAATAGTGTTTATCCATGATTAAAATGTATTTTTATGTTTAACAGTGTAAAGAGTAATCTGCTAATTCATCATAGTTTTGTGAGATGAATAGGAAAACATTGTAAAGAGAGTTATTAGGATTGATGTCTTTGTCACTTTTATAGAGACTCAATTCAACAGAAACTTCTTAGGGACCAATAAATAATGTCACTTTTTCATTTAGAATATCTTTTAGTCAAATATATAATTGTTTAATACGAAAAACATATTATTTTTTCGATAAGAATAGGTGTAAATTTGGAGTGATACAAATTCTTGATAATAAATATAACTCGCACTTACGTTGGTCTTTTACAATCGAGAAAAATCAATTGTAGAGAAAGTCTAAGTTATTTGTAGACAAATTGTTAAAAAACAAAATAACAGAACAGAATAAAAATGTTTTTTTTAGTTACAATTTGCATTAGCATCTGTGTCTTATTTTGAAAATGACACTATTTGTCTTTTATATAATCAAGTCAATAAAAAGAATTGAAAGAAGATCATGACAAGAGAGTATTTCGGGTTTTCTTAAACCAACTTGTTTTGTTTTTGCTTTTCTTTCTCATGCTATATATGTTCAAAAGAAAGACGAAGAAATAGTAAAAAAAAAAAAGAAAAAATCATTTCACATCAGTATATAATAGCCTTCTATAAATTTGACAGAAAATTTTTTATTGATGACGGCAGCGATCATTAAGATAGTAATAAATGTTTTATTCATCATTATTCGTTTTTCACCATCCATTACATTAAACAAGACACTTCTGAGAAAGACTAAAACAAAAAAATCTACACACAAACGCCCAGTCATTTTTCTAAATGTGATCCGGAAAGAAAAGAAAAATAACGAAAAAAAGATAAACAAATACAATTTAGTATATATATAGAAGATGATTTTAGTTCTTGTGCGTGTATATAGTTGAACTTCCTGCTCATTTTATTGTAGATGCAAATTTTCTTCTAAACTTGTCACGAAAATATTTAAATTATCTCTTTTTTTTTCAGAAAAATATGAGTTATAACAAACTAAAAAAATTTAGGCTTAAAATACGTTCGATAGTATTGGAAAAAAAATATCTGCTTTAACATTCTATAGACGTACCTTTAAAGAAGCAATCCTCCTTACTATTTAGTGTCTTGAAGAATACTAATTTTATATCATTAACTATTAGATTTTTTTCTTATCTTCGATTTCGACAACATCTCTTTGTTAAAGAAAAATGAAAGGAATTGTAAAAGCCAATTGAATAGAAATGGCATTCTAGTTGTCAATTTGCATAGCGTCCCAAATGACAGCTTCGACTCTCTTTTTTCCTGTTGTAATCAAAACAAATGACGTTAATAGATAGAAAAAAATAGTAGCCACAACAAACAATCGACAAACTTTTGACTAATCAAAAGCGTAATACATTTCATAGTTGTCTATGATTGAAACCAGTTGCTCATATCAAGGATAACTTCAATCATAACAATTTGAGATATTACGAGTTATAATTTTATGAAAAATTATTGATCTATTCAATGTGGATGCGGTCAGGACTGATAAGAAAGTGTAAACTAAACTTTTACAAATAAAATTATAAATATCATCTTAGATCTGACTAATCCATGATGTTCTATATCATAGAAATTGATGAAATCAAGTAGATTTCTAAATAAATCAATCCAAAAGCTTGTTGTTTACCTGTTATGACATTATTGATGTTGTTTGTTAAATTTGTTTGCAAGTTTATTGAGGAATTTGTCGATTCTGTTGTCGAGGTAGGATATTTTGGTTGAGTTGGAAATAGATTATCATCAAGATGATGCGATGACGTTGTTTGTTGAGTTGACGGAGGTGCTGTGGAAGAGCTTTGTACGGGCAGTGCATCGTAATGAATTGAAGAAATAGTGGTATTGGGATGTAGAGTTGAAATAAATGATGAATTATTTGAATTGGAAGGATACGACGATTGGTTGACGATGGAAGAGGGTGAATACCCTGCTAAATTTTTATCTGGATCTAAACTCTTATCGGGAGGAGTAGATGTTTGAGCCATTGTACCTGACTGTTGTTGTTGCTGTAATTGTACAAAGTATGAGACAGCATGCGCGATGATATTTTTTGGTTTATTACGTAAAACGGATAATGTAAAATTTCGTAATATTAATGGTAATTCGTCTGGTATTTCAATATTCATGATTTTTTTTGACTATCTAAAATAACTATAATAGAAGAAAAAAAATCAATATATTATCATTATAAAATCATGTGATATTTTAGCGAGATATGTTGAAATATCGAAGTAAAATTGTGAGTTTCTTTCTATAGATCTATGCTTAAACATGAATAAACATTTTGATTTTCAATATCGATTCTTTATCACTTACTTTAGTCAGTTTTTATATGAAATTTTCCTTCTGATTTTTCATGGAATGTTTTTCTATTAAATGAGTTGTTAAAAAGTATTGAAGTATAAATATATTCCTGTCAAATTACAATCCAATATTTCATGCTTATGAATTTATGTGATAAAAACATACTTGTCCAAAAATAATTCTCATTTCCAATATCGTCTAACAAGCAAGAAAAAAGAACAACGATCAAATAGAATAGTTATTTTTTCTTGCTGTTATATTTGATTTATATGGTTATTAGTCGTAACAACTATATCTATCCGATTGCACATATGTTAGATTCTTTTTTTCCTCATCATTTATTTACTCAAAGAATTCAGAATAATAATAATAATAACGAAGCATACTCCTTTTTCCACTGTATAGTATTATTTCCTTCTGTTATCTTCAAAAAATAAGAATTTATATTAGTTTAAGTTTCTTTCTAAAATGCTCACATTTTTTCACTAGTTTTAAATATCAAAATAGAATTCAGTAAGTACTTGTTTACACTTGTACCAATAAGAAAAAGCTTGAAGACAAATGGAATTGGTTATCGGCTAAAAAAAAGAAAAGTATATCTATACATACATATACATCATTAGTGATAATGATGTATTCTATTAAAAGTCATTTGATTTCGTTCTATTTGACACCTCCATTTGTTCATAGAAAAAGTAACGTCCATCATTCTAATTCATTTAGCCACTTATTATATCCGAAAAATAGAATTATAATATTAAAATCTCTAATTTCTTCGTACTATATTAAAAGTATAGATTTGTAATCATTATTTTTTACCAAAAAAATGGAGATGTTTAACTCGTAGTTCACAATATTATACCCTAATGAAATTTCTTGTAAAAATCAAGATCTAGACATGTTGACATTCTGAATCGGTTATATACAATCAGTATGAATATTTGTTTTTGTTTTTTTATAAAATGTTTTAAGAACACGTAAAAGTTCAAGAATTTTCAAGAAGTCAATGTCTACTGTTTGGATTTTTGTGAAGAAATAAATAGTACTAAATATTGAAGAAAAACGACCAAGAAATGAAATAATGAAAGAATAAGCGAATATATATATATATTTTCTTTTTTTGTTTGATAGATGATAGTCTAATTATACACACTATCATGTATAAACTATGTTCAAGTAAGAAAAGACATTTGAAGTCATACATAGTATGAAAACTTATATTCAAATGCGAACACAAGACAGTCTTTATACTAGAAAAAAGTCATGAGAAAACTAGATGTTTTTACTGTATACATTCAATAATCTACTTTTAGACATGAATATATTAGTGTACTAAAAATGAATCCATTATTTATATAAAAACTTTTTACTAGTAAAAAATGAATTATTTTTCCAAAAATTCGTACAAAATTTTATTTACAAAGAAAATTTTTTAATTTGTTAGACATATGTTTGAGCAAGTTTAAAGAAACGAAGAATGTTTTACTGCAAAAAAATTGAATTTTCATGGACAAGCAAGAAGATAAGTTTGATACAAGTTTTGTAAAAAAATTATCAAGAACAATTTAAAAATGATCAAGATCTTGGATACAAGATTCAATGATTCAAGACTTTTAGCACAAGAACTTTCATGTTTTCTAATCACTATGTTGGATCAAGTACATTTACTAAAGAAAGTCAAATAAGTCAAAATATCGTAGTTAAAAAATGTTTTATCATAGTGAAATAAACAAATTTCTTTTGTTTAAAAAAAAACACAATAACATCAAAAATTCACGCCGATTTTCATTGACAGAAAAGAGAATACTATAACGACTCATGCATTGAAAAAGAATGTCTACAATTTCTCGAATATTTCCTGTCGTTCACATTAAGAAGTGAGATTGTAAGATCTTTTCTTACTTACCTCTTTTTGAAATATATTATGTGAATTCTAATTTTAATCTATAGTAAAGTAATATTTCCTCTCACACTCTTATATGAAAAATAAATTTTCACAAATAATACAAATTATGTGTATTTTCAATGACATAATGCACGTTTCTCATTAACAGAATCCTGATAAATGTTGTTTGAATTGAACTCTATTTTTTCCTCTTTTTCTTTCGTGTTCTGTCGTAAAACTTTTACACATACACATACACAAGTGTTGCATTAAAATCAAATATTTCATCAGTTAAATATGACGTTAATTTTCTTTTTTACGCTTTTTTTCTTCTTATTCTCTTTTTTTTTTTACATAATAGATACAACGAATAAGTTGATTTTCTTTTTTTTTTCTTCTTTTGGAAAAATGTTTGAACAGATTTTTTACTCGTATGGTCGAGTTAATTAAAGAGAATTTTAAACGTGTCTTCATCAGTCGATTTTATTTGATGTTTCTTTTATGTAGAAATTTTTAAATCAAAACAGCTTAATAAAATTGTGTCTAACAATCTTCTATGACCCTATTGTATTTTGTAGAATGGTGTGAATACACGATTCTAAAACTGTAAATACATATGCATAAAACAACAACTATTTTTGTATTCTTGATAGTTATAGTTTAAAATATTAAAATGAAATTTATATCATTTATATTCTCAGAGATTAAAATTTAGATCAAATCAATTAGTAAAGAGTGAAATTAAAGATGAATTTATACAGTTTGCAAAAAAACAGATGAATTTATACAGTTTGCAAAAAACAACAACAACAACACTTAGCAAGAATTTATTAGACTATTTTATGTTTGTACCTGATAAAATTAATTTTTTTCCGTTATTTATTATTATTCACACAAATTTTATTAAAAAGTCATATAAACCGATTTTTTTCTTATGAATGATGGACCTGTCAAAGAACTATTCGTATGTCACGAATATTTTCTTCACTATTAAATAGTAAAACAATTAGAGACCTACCGTTTCTTCTTTTTTTTTTTAATGCTCTTCTTTGTATGTGTTTATATGTGTTTTTTGAAATAGATATTTACTCAAGTATATTTTCCTCTTTATTCTTCTATCTACAATAAAAAATATATAAAAAAAGAGAATAGAAGAAGAAAAATAGATAGAATATATAATCCAATAACTGACTATATTTATTTTTTATTATTTACTGTTTTGTTTAGAATACAGATATGAACAGAAATATCAAGAGAAAATATCAATTTTTGTTTTCATTATTATGTTTAATAATTGAAATATAAAGAGTAGATTAAGTTGAACGTAAAATTAAAATATCATATATTCAAGTAATAAAAAAATAAATAAACAAAAAAAAAAAGAAAAAAGTTTATTTTTTTTGAAAAATTCTTGTTCAAATAAGATATATTGATTATTTCAATTATTCTAACAAACATTTCATCATTATCATCATTATCATTATCATTATCATAAAATTTTTTCATGAAAATAACCGCATCTCTATAATAGAATTTTAATTATAGTATAATCAATACGGAAACACAAAAACTCATAAAAATGTTCTCCCGTAAAAATTCACCATATCGATATATCCTGTTCGCCCCCTTTTCCTATTCTTTTTTAGTGATTCTAACTATACAAGATTAACTACATGCAAGAAAAAAAAAAACATAAGAAAATTGTTAATTCGTTTCTTTTGCTTTTTTATCCAACAGATATTAGTGAAAAGATATAAAAAAAGGAAAAAGAAGAAATGGACTACGGGGATCAAACATTTAACAACATTATCATGTTTACTACCGCTGAAAGAAAATCATCAGTTACATGAATTATTTCCGTATAAGAAAAAAAATAAAAATTGGCACTGAATGCCCCTATTGCAGGAGAATTTTTATTTTTATTTTTGTATTTTCATATATCTAAAATAAGTCTTACTATAAAAATAATAATGATAAAAATTCATTCGGAAACTAATGCACGACATTTTTATTCGAAAATTTTATTTATGATATATCTACAATGAGCAAAACTTGTATGAAAACTAGTATGACATTATTAGCATATAGAAATTTTTATTTTTTTATTTTTTTTTATGTCAAACATCAGATTAATTAACGATCCATCACCTATACCTGTAGGACTTAGTCAAATTTTATATTGATGATATAAAAATTTTTGTTTCAGAATAGTAACTAGAAAAACAGTTTATCTTTGATACCGAAAGGAAGATAAATTGGTAAGATATGTTAATTAAAATTTACCTAGAACTACTACCTCATGCAAATATGAGAAAAATAAATATTATTTTAAGCTTACAGAAATGTCAGTTCATCACAAAATCTTTTAGAATAATTTCTTTATACTCTTTTCTAATGTTTAAAACATATTGAACAGAGTAGATAGAACAAAATACTGGTTATATGTTTAACCAGGAAATTGAGTGCCATTTTTTCTTCCTCTTTTGTATGTTTTTCTTTCATCTACAACAAGTTTACATTCATTTCCGGGAAAAAAATTCGATTTGTAAAATATATATATATCTAGACTATTTTTTATATTAGTCGCATACTTGGCTTTGAACAAGAAGAGTATTAAGTGGCACCTGTACTTTCATCTGTAAATAAATGTTTAACAAATGGCTTCACAGTAAAAAATGATGACAAAACTAATAAAACCAGGAAAAAATGTAAATAAATGAAATGTACAATAAATAATAATTTTCTGCTCATCGGAAACAGATGACACCAACATTACAATTATGTTATTTCTCCTTTCATGTCTATATTTGTTGCATCGTAGAAATTATCCTTTTTCTATAAATACCGAATATTATAAAAAGTAAAAAATCTGAATCCCCATTAAAACTTTAACTCCATATGTTGATAATGTTTATCCAATATATCCTTCGTACAATA